CTCTCGCGGAGCAGGATTACCGGCATCGATAGCGAGCACTTCTGGGATCGATTTATCGCATCTTGTCTAGACGCGATAAAATCGATCCCAGAAGATCTACTGCTTGCCGCCGAACCAGCAGGTAAGTATAGACGTACCCTAAGACTCTGAAATAATCTTAACGTGGCCCATTGAGTGCAATCCTTCATTCTGGATTTGTCATTCCACAAGTTGAACTGCTCCTTACTACCGTCCAGGCTTCATGAGCCATGGGAGCAAGGGGCAGGCTGGGGTAGGTGCGACCGCGTGGTGCTGCCGGCTGGGAGAGCAGCCTGAGGCAGAAGCCTCCAGCTCGCATGATATTCCAGGCAGGACTGAATCTCCATGAGACTAAACTTAAAGAAGAGAATGACCTGGAGTTACTCCCATTCAGTGCTCTAAGAGGAGGATAGCCATGTTTGTCCAGGCACCCCTGATTGACCTCACCGAGGCCTGCCAGCTGAGCGGGACCCTGGCTGGCAGGAGCCAGCGGACAGAGCCCCAGACCGGCAGCAGGCTGAGCTGCTCAGCCCACTGCCAGTCTCGGCCTCCGTCCACCAGCCCTGCTCAGCCCGCTGCCTGCCTGGGGTTCCGATCATCTAGGCAGGCAGCGTGCTGAGCGGGACCGGCAGGTGGGACCCCAGAAAAAAGGCGCAAAACTATTGTCTGCTGTTGCTTTCACGGAAGGAGGGCGGGGGGGAAGGGGACCTGACGACATGTACGCAAAACCACCCGCAACAAAGTTTTTGCCCCATCAGGCATTGGGAGCTTAACCCAGAATTCTAATGGGCAGCGGAAACCGCGGGAATTTTGGGATAGCTACCCACAGTGCACTGCTCTGTAAGTCGATGCTAGCCGTGGTAGTGACTTAATGCACTTAGTGTGGACATACACAATAGACTGTATAAAATCGACTTCTATAAAATTGACCTAATTTCATAGAATAGACATACCCTTAGTGGGTCAGAGGCCTTGTTGGGATGACCACGCAGAAAAACCACTTCTACTTGGCAAGGTAAGTTGCTCTAGTAGATGGTTTCCTACTACCTAGTAATACCTTGTGGACTTGCTCCGAACAGGCCAGCTCTGCTTGGTTTAACCATGGAGCTTCCACGTGGTCAGGTGGAGGGCCTCGTGGTTTGGGGGGAGCAGTCGGCTGTGATCTTTTGAGATCAGGTCTGGGAGGGGAGGGAGCAGCATCAGGGTCGCAACTGACAGATCGAATAACGTGCCGAACCAGTGCTGGCGTGGTCATGCTGGGGCTATAAGAATAACCTTTGTTCTGTCCTGCTTGAATTTGAGTAAGACTTTGTGCACAAGAGGAATGGGAGGAAATGCACAGAGCAGGTGCTTTGTCCAAGGGAGCAGGAAGGCATCTGTGAATGAGCCTGGGCTGCGCCCAGGTTAGAGAGCAAAACTGCTGAGACTTCCTGTTTTGCTTGGTTGCAAATAGGTCTATGAGAGGAGTCCCTCCTCCCCCACTGCTGGAAGATGGTCCTAGCTATAATTGGGGCAAAGGGATCTGCTGAGGTGATCTGCCAGATTGTTCCAGGCGCCCAGAAGGTGAGAAGCTTTGAGGTGGATCAAGTGCTTAATGCAGAATTCCCACAAGTGAATGACCTCTTGACACGGGAGAAAGAGCATGCCCCCCACCTGTCTGTTGATATAAAACATGGCTTCCGTGTTGCCTGTAAGGACTCAGAGTTCTGAGGTGGTCGACCTGAGGCCCCCCCCCCCCCGACTTAGCTCAGATGCATCCGAGCTTGGGGATACTTAGGGTTGGGGACTGATAAAGGGAATGCCTAAGCCAACCAACCAGGGGTCCTGCCACCAATCTAGAGAGGTAAGGACCTGGACAGGAACTGCAAGCACTGAGTCCAAATGACGATGGTTTGGTAAGTATGCTAAGGCCACCCACACTTCAAGGGGTCTGATGCACAGTCTTGCCTGCTTACCATATATGTGCACACAGCCATATTAATAGTCTGAGGCAGAAACGGACTGTCATGATGGGCAGACCTTGACCTGCGATATCAGGGATGACATTGTCGGATAGTGAGCCTCTGGGAGGAAGACTCTGGCCGAGGTGGAATCGAGCACCGCACCAATAAAACTATCCTCTAAATGAGGATAAGCATGGACTTCTAATTTATCAGCAGGCCCAGTGCTTGGAAGTTAGCTTGGATCAGGTGGATGCCAGCTCTCACCTAGGCCTCGGGACCAGCCCTTGATCAGCCAGTCGTCAAGATAAGGGTAGACTGGCACCCCTTGCCTTCTGAAGAAGGCTGCCACTACTGCCAGGCATTTTGTGAATACCTGAGGGGCTGCCGCCAGGCCAAAGAAGAGGATGGTGAACTGGTAGTGTGTCTGGTTCATGACAAAACCTGAGAAATCTTTTGTGACCCCAAAATATGGAGATGTGAAAATAGACATCTTAAGTCAAGGGCTGTGTACCAGTCCCCTGGATCCAGGGAGGGAATAATGGAGGCCAGGGAGACCAGGCAGAACTTCAGCATCCTGAGATAAGTTTTGAGGAAATGCAGGTCTAGGTTGGGTCTGAGATGCCCTTTGGCCTTCGGGATTAGGAAATAATGGGAGTAAAACCCTTTCCCTCTCAAGCATCTCCTCCACAGCCCCTACTCTGGGCTAAAACTGCTCATGAGAAGAGTCCCTGAAGAGGGACGAGGAAAGGAGGTGGGAAGGAGGGACTGAAATAGACTGAAGAGTGTAACCTTCCTCCACCATACTCAGTACCCAGTGGTCTAACGTGATGAGGGACCATGCCAGGCTGAAGTGGGAGAGATGGATTGAAAACAAAAAGGGGACGGTATCCACTACAAAAATCTGGTATAGCGTCCTTGGACACCACATCAAAAGTTCTGCTTGGAGCCTCCCGAGTATCTGTGAGGACTCCGTAGAGAGGCTGAAGCGGGGGTGGGTAGATGTCTGTGTTTATGCCCATTTTGCTTCTAAAACAGGTCCTGGTGTGGCGGCGAAGCCAAGAAGTGGACCGATTGTTGAGGCCTGAAGTGTTTCCTCAAAGGCACTACAGCATATGAATCCTTCCGGCTGTGAAGCTTCACATCCATTTGCTCAGAGAAGAGCAAGTGCCTTCAAACAGAAGGTCCTGGATGGGTTGTTGGATCTCCACTGGGTGACCGGAGGACTGGAGCCAAGAGCATCTGTGCATGATCACGGCAGATGCCATGGAACTAGCCACCGAATCTGCCGCATCCAGAGTGGCCTGTAGGGAGGCCCTAGCCAGAGACTTCCCTTCCTCCACCACAGCAGAGAACTCCTTCCTGGGCTCCTGGCGAAGAGTCCTTGAACTTCATCATTGACTCCCAGACATTAAAACCGTTATCTCCCCAGCAACACCTGCTGGTTGGAGATGCGGAGCTGTAGATCCCCTATAGTATAAACTTTTCTACCAAAAAGGTCTAGTCACTGTGTCCCTTGCTTTGAAAGTTGCTCCTTGCTGTCCCTCTCATTGGCTGCCAAGACCACCAGGGACCAGAGGGGGATGGGAGTACAAGCACTCATAGCCCTGGGCAGAGAGAAATTACTTCTTTTTGGCCCTGGGAGGATGGGGTTTGCCACAAGGCCTTAACCAGTCCCATAAGGGCCTAATTGAGGGGGAGGGCCACTTTCGATGGGCCTGCAGTGGACAGGCAGCAGAAGGGTTCTTTGATTACCTCCACCTACAGCCCAAGGATCGATGCCACACTTTTTAACAGCTCCTGGTGAGCTTAGAAGTCATTGGGGGTGGGGTCGGGGAAGGGATACATGTGTCCCAAACACTGCCTCATCTGAGGAGGAGGAGGAGGAGGAAGAGACCAACACCAACAGGGGGTCCTCTTCCTCGCCTTCTACACCAACTGGGTCCTGTAGATCTAGGTCCTGAGGCTCGGTACCGGGCTTGGTACTGGAGTCGAGGTCAGGTGCTGGTTGTAGGGATGGGAGCATTCTTCTTTCTGAGGCTATGGAGTATGAGTATCTGGAAGAGGGCCCTTAAATATGGGGAAACCCTCAGGGGTTCCAAAATGGCCATTGCATCTGCATAGGCCAGTGCCCACTGTACCAAGTACTCGGTAGTACCTCTGTGTCTGGGTCCATCAACCGGCAGGGCTGCCCAGGGCGGAACTGGCTGACGAGCCTTCCTCCGGAGACCATGGAGGGACAGTACCTGTCGGTCTGGGGAACAGTGCCGAAGTGGGAAGACCTGTGTCAAGGCAGGCAGTCCCTCTAGACAGTACCAAAAGCAGGAGTGGCAGAAGCTCCCTAAAAGTGTGGGGAGCCACTGAACTGTGGCTCTGCCCCCTTGCTGCCCCTTCTTCCCAAGCTCTCGCACCACACCTTCTCCCTATGCCTCCACCGTAATATTGTCTATTCCCCCCAAGGCCTTGCCCTCGCGCTGTCCTTTCCCCCAAGGCCCCGCTCCTTCCCCTGAGGCTCCACCTCTGCACTGCCTCTTCCTGAGGCCCTTCCCCCTTACAGCTGGCAAAGTTGACAATAATGGTCTTAGTCACCCATTTTCCCCCCTTGATGGTCATTTGGTAATTTAAGTAAAAGTATTTCTCAGCTCGGTAAGTACTGGATTGGACTGAAAAAGCTTTAGGATGTAGTTTAAGCTGTACACAATCAGCATTTTCCATCTGGGAATTTATACGTTACAGTGCTATATGCAGAGGGAGATGGAGGTTTGTGAAATCCCCCCAGCTTTGGGAGCTAGATTTTTCCTTCCGTAGCTGCAAAAATCAATAATGCTCCTTGAAGAGCTGTTCATCACACAGGAAATGTAAAGCAAACTGAAGTAAAATTCTCAGCAATTGTGGTTTAATACAGATTAAAAATCATCATATGAAAAATAGCACTCCTTAAACAGAAAATAAAAATATGAACTTATTGAATGTTGCTATGTAATCATTGTTGAGTTGATGCACAAGAGCTGCTACACTGATGAAAACACGAGGAAAATAAACTTGAATGGAATAGAAATAGCATGTTTATTTACAGTGAGACGATACACATGTTCAGGGTTTAAGTCTACTGAAGAAAAATATTTCTCACAATATTATTTATATTTCCATAGTGCCTAGGAGCCTTAATCATGGAGCAGGACTCCACTGTGTTAGGAGCTATACAAAAACAGATGTTTAAGCATCAAATTTCAGGGGATACAAAAGACAAGAGCAAGAAAACGACTCATTTTTCCTTAAGACATTATTGCAATTATTTTAAGAGACTGACTTCTGTCATGATTAGGGCCCTACCAAATTCACACTGTGAATAACATGTCACGGACCGTGCAATCAGTCCTCTCCTCTGAAATCTAGCTATTGGAGGGGAAGGGAATAGCTGGGAGTTCCCAAGCCTGGGGCTCCTACCAGGCCTCCGGCTCCAGCTGCTAGTCTTGGCCAGGCTGGGGAGGAACAGGACTTGCTCTTCCCCTACACAGCCACTTGGGGAAAGTGTGTGTGTGGGGGGGGGGGAGAGGAAGGGGGGGGGGAAGAGGGGAGTCAGACCCACCGTCTGGGTACCTACCCCAGCTGCAGGAAGCTCCAGGACTGGGCAGCCGTAGGAAGTTGATGGAGGTGGGGCTGATCTCCCCTGTGCTGCTGAGAGCACTCCAGCCGGGGGCTCCTAGCTGCTAGGGGCACTCCCAGCAGCACGGGGGAGATCAGACCCATCTCCACCTCTAGGAACCTCCTGCAGCTGCAGGAAGCTCCGGGGGTGTTGCCTTAAGAGCCCAGAAGTGAGGGTGGCAATCCCATGACCCCCCACAACAGCTTTGTGACCCCTCCACAACCTCAGTTACAACACCATGAAATTTCAGATGTAAACCTCTGAAAACATGGAAATGATTAATTTTCAAATCCTATGGCTGTGAAATTGACCAGAATGGACTGTGAATTTGGAAAGGCCCTAGTCATGATAGTTAGTTATTCTAATTCTTTAAATTGCATTTCACTCCTTTAAGTTGTGTATCAGAAATATTAATATAGTCTGTTAGAAGTTTAAATTGGAATACTATTATCCTTTCAAATAAGACCCCCATAAAGATCAGTAAATACAATGCACTTCAAAATACAAATTGAAAAATAAAGTTATTGGTTAATATGTAGGTAATCTACATCAACCCCCACTTCAAGGCTTACATTAACCAGAGAAAGAAATCAAGATGATTATGCAAATATAAAATTTCAAATGAAGTAGTTACTAACTGTATTTGCGGGAGATTGCAGTAGTTGCCCTCGTGTAGTTATTGTTGCTGACAGAGCTACTGAGATAGACCTCTATTTACCAAATACGGTGACACTTTTCATATTTCATAGTACTAAAAGATTTGGCCAAAAAGCCAATTATTTTCATCTAAGCACTTACAGTACCACGGCAAATACATACCACGTACAGCAAAAAATATTGGACAACTTTATGCTAGCCAGAATTACAGCGTTGAGATTCACTGTTTATCATGAAAAATTAAGAGGTGGTCAGCTAAAAGATGCCAGAAAGATTGCTCTAGCTTCAAACTATTCTTAGTAAAGACTGTTTCAAGTATTCAATAGTAGCATTAAATATAACAGATCCAATGTTGTAATCAGAGTGTTTTTGATTGCAGAATGATTGCAAACCGAGGCTTCATCTGATAAGTAAAACATACCTACAGTGTTATTTTTTTTTTTAATAGTAAAATCTTGGCAAAGTAACAAATTAGTTTTGCTCATACCTCTCCAGAAACAAGGAGTACCTTGCATCAGCACAAGTAAGGTCTCAAATGCGTAACTTAGAAAGCTTGCCAAAGGAAAAAGATTACTCAAGTCATAGTGAATACTGCGGGATTAAGGTTCCAATCATGTAATTGCAACAAGGCAAAGCAGTCTACCTGTGCATTGCTGAGAGCAGGACTAGTGCCCAACTGTGTAATGGAGCACACTTACCATCTTTCTTAGTTTCCTTTTTCATTTAATATACAGCAAGTTTATTTTCAATTTACTAGGTTACACCAAAATAACCCAATCCAAGTTAAAATCTTAAGGAGCAGTTACAATGTTCGTGTAGTACATTTTCAAAATATGCATTTGCATCTGTAACCTTTTACTAGAATTTGCTAAATTAAATCCACTATCTGAAATAATCAGCTCCAAAAATATACATTTGATTATTGCAAACGAGTAACTCAAACTACAGTTTTCCAAAACACCTTACACGTAATACAGCAGAACCAAACTTGCACAATTTCAATTATTCAAACTGATTTTCCGCCCAGCACACTGACTCACTGGCAGACACTACTGAATTGTCCTCAGCTGAAAAAGAGAACCCATCTCTGCTTCCCCTTACGCATGCCAAAAAACCCCAAAAAACCTCCATGCACTACAGTGGATGGGACTACTCAATAGTACCTCCATCTTGGAGCAAATTTAAGTGAATGAGAAAGGTAGCTGCTTTAGTTATAGGAGGCTTATATCTAATGGGTTTGTGTACAGACTCCAGTTTTGTCATCTTAGCCCTTTCAATAAACTTCATGGGTGAAATCCTGGCTCCTAGAAGTGGAAAAAACTTCCACTGACTTCAGTGGGGCCAACATTTCACCCCATAAGGTTCAAAACCAGAACATATTCTCATTAAAACAAGGTGACTCATTCCTGGAAATAGAAGATTATTTGTTTCAGGGTGGCTTTTCACGATTCCTTATGCTTACTTTGTATTTAAACTAGGTGTGTTTAGAAAAAGTTTAATTCTTCATAGCTTTTCTCCCCACTTGCTCCTGCAGTAAAGCCCATAATAACGAGTATTATGAAAAGGATGACAATAAACTGACGTCATATACTACTATAGCTTCAATATAGGACCAAGCAAGAGAAAAAGCTGAGACGAAGATGGACATAAAACAGAAAAGTTCATACAAATACTGACAGAGTTCATTTCTTTGCCACATTTGCTTCAGTATGAATGCCGTTCCTTATCCATCCTATCAGTACTTGATTCACTTCAAAGATAACTGCCGTGATTTAGCTTTACTAAGGTACTAATATTTCACTAAGAATGTATTGAAGACTTTTCCAAATGTTTAGAAATACCTACCGTTTTAGCAATTCCATTTAGTGATAAATCATTATCCCTTCATTGAGACTGTCATATTTATAATACACTATTGTACTGCCCAGCATAATGCTAAGCCTTGTAAAACAGATTGAAACGATAAAAATATAGGTATGGTTCCATTAAAAAGTATTAAAATCAAATAATTTCAACGTTATTTTGAGTTCAAATTTTATCTGATTTGATCCTACTCATTCAATTAACCAATATGACTTGCGAACAACAGACTACACGAGCAAAATCTTCAAGAGCACCTACGTGAAACAGTGGTATTTAGGCACTTAGAATTTTACTTATAACTTTGCAACTGCTTGAGTTTCATTGGTTTCTAATAGATCTTGACATTTCTCAATATGATCTGCCTAATGAGACAACCATGATAATGGTTTCTATTTGACTGTTTTCATTATCTGTATTCTATTTCAGACATTTACTCTTCGTAATTATCTGCATTTATTACATTAAAATTTTCTTTACAGTATCTTACATTTTTCAGAGGCAAATAATCCTACTTCAATACAGGTACAATCTCCTTTAAAAGTTAGCAATACTGCACTCAGGGAACAAGTAGTCCATTCTTTTAGAATAAAAGTCCTGTTTCAAGGATTGGCTGGCACATAGGCAGGGGGTACATCTCCACTCCACTTGGGAGTGTGCTTCCCAGCTCAGGTAGACAGACCATGTCAGCTCTGCTCGAGCTGCACGGAAAAAACCATCAGTGTAGCTGAAGGCAGCAGAGGTGGTAGCTTGGGCTAGCCAAACGTGTATGAATCCAGGATGTCCAGTGGGTTAGTACTCAGGTGGTTAGCCCGAGCTGCCACCCAAGCTACTCTTGGCTACACCACTGTTTAGCACACTAGCTCAAGTGTAACTAGCCTACGTCTGTCGACCCGAGTAGGGAAGGACACTCCCAGCTGCAAAGTAGACATACCCAAAAAAGCCCAAGCTTTTGGGTAGCATTGATAGCACTTGGCTCCAGAATAATAGTAAAAATCTCTGCCTGATAGTTATTATACTATAATATCACCACCACTTGTCAGAGGATGAGGAAATCCAGTCTGAATGGGGCCAAACATGCAATATTTGTATGCCTTAACCTGAACTGTTAAACAAAAACAGTATGAAATTGAAGGAGACCTATAAGGCTGGCAGAGGATTGGTACATCTTCCAGAGCAATGGCCACTGCACGGATTCAGAAAAATCAGGACATGCTTCCCTCAGTGACCAATTAGCTCTGGCAGGTAGGCTGAAGAAGGCTTTATGCCATGGAAATTCAACCCCCTGCGTCTTTTTGGTTGGAAAATACCCATGGGGGCACTATCCAAGGAAGTTGCTATGCTCAGAAGAGTGCAGGAATTAGAATCATGGCTGACTCCTGCCCAGACAGTGGTTGGGGAGAAAGCACTTTGCACCCTTTCCTTATTGAACCTTGAAAGGGCAGCCAACATCTAGCTGTAAAAATAAGCAAATAGAAGAGGGTCATTTTATGCCTGTGACATCAGAGAAACACTAAGAAACAGAAGGAAGGATAGAGCGAGGGAGACAGATGAGAGGGAAATGCCATCAGTCCCACCAAGTGCCATTCTGGTAAGCTAAAGTGTCCTGGTCCTCTAAACTTATCTACTGTGCAAGCTCAAAAACCAGGAATAATATAAATAATTATATATTAATGCATATAAATGTATAAATATACTTTACCTTGCATCTTCATATTTGTAACAAATGCTTATCCCAATAGTCAGGTTAATTAAAGAAATTATTTTCAAAATTGTGCTCATGCAATAGAGACAATATATACTTAGACTTTTAAGAAATTCCTGAATTAAGACATCGGAATAAGCATTTATTATTAGTTTGGAGATGTAAGATGAGAATGTGAATATATGAGCAGGAAATAAAAAACCAACACTGATGAGAAACACTTGTTCACCACACATACCAAACTGCATACCAGAAATCAATTTCCATGATATTTGTTCTATTCTTCTCCCTCAAAGTTCATCAGTGGAAGTATTATTAGTTTTTGATAATTCACATTCTTCACTGAAGTGGCAGTTTTGAAGGATGTCCTTATAATGGTTCTTCAGATCTGTGTACAGAGAGACAGTTTCCTCCGAGTGAGGAAATGGCAGCAGCTTTTCATTCAACAGTATCTGTACTTGGTACTCCTCCTCAGGGGTCTTAGCTTGGTCACAGTGATAAAGCACAAATATCAGGTTTGAGGCATAAGGCACAATGCGACCACTACGAAACTTCCGATGCATTTGTTTTTTGTAATTGTTAGCAGCAAGGGGCTCCTCATCCTTGAAGAAACCCATTAGAGCAAGCAGTGGCTGAAGGGTCTCTGCATGTCCAAATTGCAGGATTACAGGTGAAGAAATGGGCATGGAACTAGAAAACATAAAAGTGAAGAATAAGCATCTGTGTTTAAAAGCAAACACTAGTGTACCATACAGTTGTTAGCAAAGAGTATTTTAAACATTTGTTTTAACTGGCGTTTACTAAAAACACGTTTGGAATCAAAGGTGTCTATCTGAAACCCACTTTTATTTAAAAAAACATTTTAAAATGTATTTTGTAACAAAACTAATTGTGCTTTTAAAAAAATTAGCTGTATTTTACCTATTATAGTACTATTACTACCAATTAATTGCTAAGTAGTAACCCAAAGTCTTAGTACACAAACAAAACGACAACGTATTTGGCATTACTGAAATACTCAGATGACTGAAATATTAGTATAGATGGGCATAGCCTGTTCAGAAAGGACAGGCACGGAAAAAAGAGAGGAAGGTTGCATTACATATTAAGACACTTGCTCTGATGTCTGGTGAAAAGCAAACCTGTTGAAAAGCTCTTGGTGAAGATAAAGGGGGAAAAAAAAACCCCACACACAGGGACAATGTCATGGTAGGGATCTACTATAAGGCCACCAAATCAGGAAGAAGAAGTGGATCAAGCATTTTTAGAATAAACAATAGAAGTATCCAAAGCACAGGACCTAGTGATAATGGAGGACATTAGCTGCCCAAATATTTGTTGAAAAAAAATATATGGCAGGACACAGATTGCCCAACAAGTTTTTAGAATGTACTGCAGACAGCATTTTTGTTTCAGAAGGTAGAGGAAGCAAATAGGGGCTGGTTATTTTAGATTTTATTCTGACAAATAGGGGGAACTGGTTGAGAATATAAAGGTGGAAGGCAACTTGCGTTAAAGTGACCACACCCCCCCCAAAAAAGTTCATGATTCTGAGGAAAGAGTGAGAGAAAAATCAGGGAATTGGTAGGCATGGTCACATGGGACAGAAATCTATGGAAAAAGGACTCCAGGAGAGGTGGCAGTTTCTAAGAGATACACAACAATAAATGCACAACAGCAAATTGTCCCAAGGTGGAGGAAAGATAAGAAGAACAGTAAGAACAATGACTACATCAGGTGCTTTTTAATAACTTGAAAGTCAAAGCAATTGTACAAACGGGAAACAAGGACAAGAACATACAAGGGAAAGTAAAAAATAATAGCACAAACATGTAGGGACAAAATCAGAAAGGCAAAACTGTAACTGAGTTACAACTAGCCAGGAACATAAAAGATAAAACGAAAGTCCATTACCTAACGGGAAAGGAAAGCAAACCACAGATGACAGAGAAACTGAAGTGTTTAATGCCTATTTCACTTTATTCTTCACTAAAAAGGTTAATTATGACCACATGTGAAACACAATTAATATTGACAAAGGGGAAAAATCTTGGGTCAAAACAGGTTAATGAGTATTTGGATAAATTAGTATCAGAGGGGTAGCCGTGTTAGTCTGAATCTGTAAAAAGCAACAGAGGGTCCTGTGGCACCTTTGAGACTAACAGAAGTACTGGGAGCATAAGCTTTCATGGGTAAGAACCTCACTTCTTCAGATGCAAGTAATGGAAATCTCTAGAGGCAGGTATAAATCAGTGTGGAGATACCTGCCTCTAGAGATTTCCATTACTTGCATCTGAAGAAGTGAGGTTCTTACCCACGAAAGCTTATGCTCCCAGTACTTCTGTTAGTCTCAAAGGTGCCACAGGACCCTCTGTTGCTTTTTGGATAAATTAGATATATTCAAGTTGGCAGGGGCAGATGAAGTACACCCTACAGTACTTAAAGGAACTAGTCAAAGTAATCGCTGACTCTTTAGCGATTATGTTTGAAAACTCATGGAGGATGACTGAGATCTTAGAATTAGTGAGGGGCAAACAGTACCCATCTTTACAAAGGGGAACAGAGGACCCAGGGGACTATAGGCCAGTTGGTCTAACTTTGATACCCAGAAAGATACTGGTACAAATTATTAAACAATCAATTTGTTCAAACCTAGTGGTTACAGTGATGAGTAATAGCCAATATGGGTATGTCAAGAACAAACCATGTCAAAGCAACCTAGTTTCCTTCTTTGATTGGGTAACCAGCCTAGTGGCTAAGGAGGAAGCAATAAACATGATAAATCTCGATTTTAGTAAGGCTTTTGACACAATCCCACATGACATTCTCAGAAAGCAAACTAGGGAAATACGCTCTAGATTAAATTACTATCAAGTGGGTGCATAACTGGTTGAAAGACAGTTCTTAAAAAGAGTAGTTATCAGTGGTTCGATGACACACTAGGACGACATTACTAGTGGGGCCTCAGAGGGTGGGCCCAGTACTATTCAATATTTTCATTAATGACTTGGATGAAAGAGTAGAGAGTATGCTTATAAAATCTGCAGGTAACACCTAGCGAGGAGGGGATGCAAGCACTTCGGAAGACAGGATTAGAATTCAAAATGACCTTCTCAAATTGGAAAATTGGCCTAAAATCAACAAAATGAAATTCAATAAAGACAAGTGCAAAGTACTATACTTAGGAAGGAAAAATACAATGCACAAATACAAAACAGAGAAGACCTGGCTAGGCAACTGTCCTGCAGAAAAGGATCTGGGGTTATAGTGGATCACAAATTGAATATGAGGGGGATGTAGTGGGAAAAAAACGATATACATCCAGAATATCAGATTCTGTGATCGTGTATCATGCTAAAAAAGGGGGAATTATGTTTAGCTCACTGCAGCCATTCACAACTACTACTACCAAGGAAACATTTAGTCTTCTTGCAGATGCTATTGCCTTATTCTATCTCTACTTTCATTATGCAGAGACATCATGCACATTTTCTAACTGAAGGCTGGATTGTGACCAGAGGTGGGAAGAAATTCAAAAAAGGATGCATGGAACTTTTCCACCTTTGCACATCTGTAAAGGGGTCAGGCATAGTCATAATGAGGAGCATAGGTACTGCTCCGTGATAAAACTCCTGAGGACACTAGATAGCCAAAAAGAACACACCATCTCAAGAGTAGGAAAATAAGAACCAACCATAAAAGGAGCTTAAAAAAAAAAATCTAGATGAAAGGAAGATTGGCAATGTCCACTTTACAATTGCATCTGCCAGTCTCTCCCAGACTTACAGGGCCAGCAGCTAAAGGAGGATGCTAGAAAAGACTCCTGTAAAAGACAAAAACAAAAAAGTGAACCTAAGAAGTGAGAGAAGGTACTATAGCTTTTTCCAAGGGCCATGAATGTAGGTGGAAGACGTCCACACTGATATGAAATTGGATAACGTCCAGCACCAGTGAATTAATTCAAATCCTCCCAAAAAAAATGGAACGAAAAATTCACAGCAACTTATGCCAAACTTTGCTACTTTTTTTTTTTAAAAACAAAACAAGATACTTCTCCAGTTAGTTCCTTTTTGAGGTATGAGAATTCCGTCACTACAAATGGTAAAGGCAGGGCATAGTTACAACCTCAAGTGCTGTATAGGGCTAATTTATATAACTCTTCTATAGTGATGTGCACCTATATATATTTTCTTGAAAGTAGATCATTAGGGAGTCAATTTCACCACTATGAAGACTGCCACTATAATGACAAGACACTGCTGATTTCCTTAAAGGAGTTATTTATATGAGGCTGTATAAATATATGTACTATAAATGTAAATTAACCTTGTTTAAGCAAATCTAACCATGGATTCAGTTCTATACAAAACAATATCTATATACCTTATGATCAATAGTTTAATAAAGCTAGAACCAAAAATGTTATTAACAATTCTTTCTATGCACTGTTTAGTAGCATAGATTAACAGAATTCAGTTCATGAGCCAATTGGAATTTTGGCTGACTTCTGGGGTCGTGGGTTTAACCTCTGCAGAAGTTTCTCCATCTGTAAAATGGTAATAATTCCTACTGTATATACTACCTCTAATAAGCAGTAAGGTACACATATGCTGAATGGGAAAATTATGTCCTAAGTGCCAAAAATCACTTCCAGCTACAGAGATAGACAGCAGCTCAGGAAAAATGCTGTCTTCTACCACACAGGTTGAAACTTTGTTCCCTAGAAGTTGTGGGTAAGCTCTCCCCCGTGCAGCAATCCTCCTCCACAGATCATCTCCTTCTTGTCAAGAAAGACAAAGTCCTCCTATTGACACCATCTGCAGAGTTTTCCATTGACCTCCAGGATGTATCCGTCCTTACCCGGGCCTTTACCCTCAATTGGAAGGACTGATGAGACCACCACCTGCGTACCTGATTCCTTAACCCTCGCTCCCAGATTCTTGCAGTCACTACTGGTCTGATCAGTCACATGGGATGAATAACATGGGGTAGTGGTCAGAAGGCCAGGCAAGCCTCAGCAACCTTTCCATGATGCCTCGGATTTGGGCTCCAGGCAGAAACCACATATTCTGGGATATCAGCTTGGCAGACGGATGCCTTCATGTCCTTCTGAAGGACATCTCGACCATCACCACCCTTCTTCCGAGTGCGATTTATATACTTGTTAGATAATGGTGTGCACCTACACAGATAATTGCATTTGAAAGCATCATAGGGATGGGAAATTCACCCCCATGCAAACTGCCAATAAAATGCCTATGTACTCCTGAACTCCTCAAAATAAAAGACCAGGAGGGTATTCTTCATCCTCACAAATCCAGTGATTTGCATCTGATCATGTGTAAATGAAGTCCAGTAAATTATAAATACCTGCATTTTTTGTTGTAGCAGCTAAGATCATGATGCTGCAAACTGCTTTGTGTGGGTGAACCCCTGTACCTCTACACAGCCCCAGTGACTTTAATGGGGCATCATACTGGTATAAGTCCACAAGCACAAAGCCCCATTGCAAGGTTTGAGCTATACAGATTTACTGCAGAACTAAAATGAAAACAAGGCTAAAAAGATAGTTAGAAATAGTGCAGCACAATCATGAAGTTTATTCAACCCTGAAAAGATTTAGAAGGGACTTAACTGAAGTACTGAAGAAGATGATTAAACATGGATAACAAAATCTTAGACAAGAGAGA